CTACGTAAAATGTATTGTAAATCTTAACAATTAACAACATTTGATTAACTCTTGAAATTTTATCTATGCTACATACATTGAGACAAGTGGAGTAATATATATTACGTATTTACAAATTACGTAAAAATATTATAAATTACATAAAATCATGATAATTGACAACATAAAATATGTTTTGAAAAAGATACAAAAAATTCCATTGATTCTTGAAGTTAATCTGTCGTAAAAATACTATAAATCATGATAATTGACAACATAAAATATGTTTTGAAAAAGATACAAAAAATTCCATTGATTCTTGAAGTTAATCTGTCGTAAAAATACTATAAATCATGATAATTGACAACATAAAATATTTCAAAAATAAATACATTTAAAAAAATTCGATTGATTCTTGAAATTAATCTATCGTTAAAAATTATGTATAAAATACAATAAATCGTGATAATTGACAACTTAAAATATTTATTAAAAAAACAGAAAAAAAAATTGACTGATTCTTAAAATTAAATCGTGATAATTGACAACATAAAATTGTTCAAAAATGTTGTATGTGGGTAGTCTTATTGTGCCTTGAATAGCGTCAAAGAAAGTACAAGTTTGTGATAAAAAAAACTTATTCATTTATCCACGCAAACAATCGCTTCAAAAATTTCGTTATTAGCCCCAAAACATACCATTTATGTTATTGGGCCCGTGCATAGCACGGGCAACAAAATCTAGTCATAAATATAAAATACAGTTACTCTCCCTTAATAAAAGTATATTGATTATTTCCCCTAAATACTGTGCATTCTTCTTTAATATTAAATATCAACTTTAATCTTGTGACAATTAAGTAGATTATTTTATTTAGTGGTATAGCCAAATAAAATGGAGAGGATTGGATTAAACGCCAATTAAGCGAAGTGTCGTGGAGCAGCTAAGCAAAGAAGAGGCGGAATGGCCAGTGCTGCTACTGTTCATGGCTTCGCAACTAGCTTCTTGTTTTCTCCTCGCAGCACAGGACACTTTACTTATTTCCTATCATCACTACAAATTCAACCTAAAAGGAGCAATTTCAACTTGCTCAACACTTGCCCTTTATCGCATTTATCAATCAAATGTTCATCCCCAAGTCAGTACGGATCTACCGCAGATGATAACTTTTTCCAACAAAACAAAAATTTAGATGTCAGTCTTACTCTTCTTTCTCACACACAGACACACATCCCATTCTTCTATTGATTTTCTGATTTTTTTTTATTTTTTTATTGTGGAATAAGAACCAAGAGAGCAGAGGGTTTTGGAAGAAATGGAAGGTAAAGTAGACCTATTTCCTGTTTTTCAGTATAATGTCGAGGGATTTGGTGAAAACTTATTTGACATTTGGTTTATTGACACTCTCTCTCTCTCTGTTTATCAGGAGAACTCAGCGGAAATGAGTGCGAAGCTAGCAAAGCTGGGGCTTGCGGCAGTTCTTGCTTATGGTATTATTGATGGTGTCACATACACTAGTTTCTTTGTGCTTGCATTTATGGGCTATGAGAAGACCACCGGCAATAATCCTGCTGCAAATCTCCAATCTTTGTTGGGGGTAAGTAGTAATTCTTTGCTACTAATACTTTATTTTAAGGTTATTAATTAGGTATGAAATATGCAATTGATTGTTTCTGGTAAATGACCAATTGATAAAAGGGGGGAAATGGCATTAGCTTTAGTTTAGAGAAATGGCGACTTGATTTCCTAGAATAACTTCTCTTTTGAGGCAAGGGTCTATCGGAAACAACCTCTCTACCCCACAAAGATAGGAGTAAGGTCCGCATACATCTTACCCTCCCCAAACCTCACTTGCGTTGTTGTTGTAGACTTAATTTCCTGAACATTTTAGTGCAAAGGTAAAAGTTACCTTATTATGGGAATATGTGGTATTCACATTTAGGATACTGGATGAATGCTTATCATAGCATTTTCACTTGTCGTAGAATATCCACTTCAGTATTTAGCATACCGAAATTGTCTTTTCCATTTCTTTAGATCAAAGTTAAGACCATTTTTTCCTTTTCACCAAATTGTGAGTTCCTTTATCTTAGATCACATTTAATGTCATTCTTCTCCTCTTTACCAAAAAGAGCATCCAGGCCAAACTCTGTAACAATATTACTAGTGAGAATCATTTAGCAACTAGCCAACTATAGGGAACTTGGAATTTTCATGGTGCCCCGTGCCAATCTGGACCTTACTTCCCAATTGGATATGTGCTATTTTAATTGCCCACTTTTGTATTTTCATTACTCCTTTGCTCAAAAAACACTCTTCATAACGGCAGATTATAATCGCAATGTGGACGGGAAATAATGTGACAAGGCCATTTAGGGTTGCAGGAGCAGCTGCTCTGGCACCTGCCATTGACAAGGGACTAAAGAGAATACAGAAATATTTAAACTTTCCAAGTCTTGTATATGCTTTTGCTTTAGTGGTGACTATAGTTGCTGGGACATGTTTCACCATTATTGGTTTACTCATCCTTTCAAGATGGGGAAAGTGAAAGATTCCACCCATAATTTAGCTGGATATTTGTTGTAATCTGTTGAGTGTTATTTGTATCATTGAGAGAGTCCTCTGACTATATAATTTTTCCATTTATATGGTCTCGTGATAGTAGTTGGAAACGTGTGTTTAGTTATTGAACAAATTTCTAAAGTTCAGAGTTACTTGAATGAATGACAAGTTGGTGTTATCAGATTTGTGTTTCTCTGCAAAAATAAATGCCCAAATATAAGGTTAATTGAAAAATACAATTTCCTGCCATGCCTGTTCCTACTGTTTCATTTATGTTACTGGTATTTTTGCTTCTTGCATCTACTTTGTTGTTCTTCTTCTGCAGTAACCTTATAAATTATGTCCAACTTGAAGTACAATTTCGATGAAGTCCAGGTATTTTAGGTTGTTGCCTTATTGGGTTGAAAATCAAACCTATTCTTCGTCTCGTAGTTCCTTCTGTAGTAGATGTGCATTAGTAGAGGACTAGAGGCTGTGTTGGATCACCATCCAGCATCCAAGACACATAAATATGTACACTCAATCAAAATAGTTTTCTAAACTTGTAAACAGGAATTAAGTATTTATATCTAGTTGAAGCTTTAGAGGAAAGTTAAGATCCCAATGGTAGATCTCAGACGGCATAGGCATGCCACAACCAGCGAGAAGATAAACCTTATATGATAGA